AGACACACAGACACACACGCACACACGCACACGCGCACACACGCGCACATATGCACACATGCATTCACTGTTACAGTTAGACTTGCACGTACAGTTACACCTACGCCTGCCTTTACACTTACACCTACACCTACACTTACACACCCACTCAGTGACACGCACACGCACTCACACACAAGCGTGCACTCACGCACGCACGCACGCGCACGCGCACGCGCACGCGCACGCGCACACGCACACGCCGCGCACACACACAAACACAGTTTGGGGTCGTAGAGGCGCGACGACTCGCCAGCGCGCCGGGCGCCCGCGCGGCTGGAGCCGCGCGCGTGCAGCGTCGTCGGGACCCAAGGCAAGGGGAGACCGCCTGCTCCTCGCGGGGCAGTGGCCGGGCGTCGGCACGGCGGGCAGGGGGCAGCGGCCGCGGTGGCGGCGGGGCAGCGGGCGGGCGAGGGCCGCGGGCCGCGGAGGCGGGGCGGGGCAGCACCCAGGGGACGCCTCGCCGGGGCGGCGGGCGCCGAAGGAGCGGCACGCGGAGCGCAGCCGAGGAGCCGCGCCCAAGTCGATCGGGCAGGGGCCACGGGGCCGGGGAAGCGCGGCGGGCCGCCAAGACAAGAGGCCGAGCGGGCCGCGGAGGGGTAAAACGACGCGAAGATCGGGACAAAATCGGATCGGGATAACTCGAAATCTCTGAGAATCGGCGGGTTTGGAGGATGTATTGGGCGCCGCGGCCGCTCCAGAGCGTTCTGGAACGCTCTGAGAGCGCTCCGGAACGCTCTGCAGCGATTTATCCCGATCCTAGCCTTGTTTTAGAACTGCAGGAGGGAACCGGCCGAGGCAGTGATCGACGCCGAGAGGCGCCCAGCGGATCGTGCGGGGCGGCCACGTAGAGAGAGAGAGAGAGAGAGAGAACCCGGCCGTCACGAGAAGGCCATGGCCGCCCCGGGGGCAGAGGAAAGGCAGAAGGCGACGTACAGGCAGCGCGCCGTGCAGCCAGCTGGCAAGCACTAGGCTGGGCTGGAGACGAGCAGGGCCAGAACGGTCAGCGAGGCAATCGATGCGGGATCGACGCCGAGGGGCTCCCTGCGGATCGCCCAGCTGCGTCAGGCGGGTCAAAAGGTGGCCCTGCAGCCCAACAGGACCACTGCGTTGCGGGGCAGGCCGGGGACGAGCAGCGAAGGCCGAGCGAAGGCCGAGACAAGGTTATGCCAGGGTGGGGTAGTGGCGTTATTTTCTGGAGAAGCGGAGTATTGCGGAATGGTGGAAGGCGGCGCAGTAGCATCACGGCCACAAACAGTTCTCAAATATTTCAACGTTGATAGTGGCATCTCTTAAAAAAAACGATGCCAGCGCAGCCATTGCCATTGCTAGCAGGCGTGGACCAGGAACGGTCAGGCACATCGAGATTGGTCAGCCTTGGTCACAAGAGTAAGTATGACGAGGAGACATCAAAGTGATCAAAACAGGGAGCCATGATAACCTTGCAGATACTTGGGGTAAATGCGTGAGCGGTAACAGCAGATCGGTGCATATGTGAGGTACTTGTAACGGGAAGACACGAGCTGGCGCCCACAATTGGATGTTAGCTTAACGCATATCCGAGTTATCCTCGCGTGCCATGTTGCGGGGGTTTTGAGCTCAGGATCAGTTGAGATCCAGGGGATCGTCTACGTGATTTTAAACCGATGCTACAACATGTGCTAATTCTTCTTCATGGCTTGGTATTGTGCGATATTTTGAAACAGTGTTTCGCGAGCTAAGAGGCCCCTGCCCGGTTACGCCCAAACCATAGTCGCTTTCTGCACGCACCAGTCTTGATTTAAATGGTCGTAATTTTCCGCTTCCTCTTCTCGGTAAAGGGCCTGAACCCAGGGTTGGTGGGATGGCAAAAGCAAGGTGGATCAACCAGTTGAAGCTTTGATATTCGCTGCGAGAGCGTTTCTGAGGCATCTCGCGTGGGCCGGAGCACGTTTGACACTGGTTTGCAAGGGGTGCGGGAGCCCTTTCTTCACCACCCACCAAACCACCCCAACCCAACCCGAAGGCTTCAATTTGCCCTCCATTTCCAGTGGGGGGGGCCCCCCAGCCCGAAATTCGGGTCAAATTCGTGCCTTCGGGTTGGGTTGGGGTGGTCTGGTAGGGAGCCCTTTTTGGGCTGCCGACGATCCCCCGTCGCAGACCGCGCGAACATCTTTGCATGGGGGGGGCGCAGGGCCCCGAGCGCACTCAGCCTGCCCTCTCCCCCCACTCTCCAGGAGGGGAAAAAACACACAGACACAATGAATCGTCGATTCCCCAGAAAATATGGGAAAATATGGGAAGTGGGGGGGAAGACAAAAACCCAGAAAATATGGAAACATATGGGGAATCTGGTTATTTGTGTGTATTTATTTGTGTGTCCCAGTTCCCCTTCAACTCTCCCCGTCCCCCTCCCGCCTCGTCTCCTTTCCCTCGACTGGCCTCTCCCGCCCCAGTAGCCCCCCTCTCCGTCCTCTTCTCCTCTGCCCGCTTCTGCTTCTCCCTCCCTCTCCTGGGGGCCTGGGGGGTGCAGGGGGAGGTCGCATGGGGGCAGGAAGGAGGGGGTGGTTGACCGCATGGGCCCGAGAACGATGCGCACTGGCCACGGGCCTGCCCTGCTGGGGTGGGACAGCGCAAGGGTCCGCCGCATCCGACTGCAGCCGCGCGCTCGACTGCGCCTGGCGGCGTGCGCGGCGAGGCTGACAGGGGGCTTGCGACGCAGTTCCCCTCGGCAAAAGATTCTTTGCGAGCCAGTGACAGGGGGACGGGTCGGCGGTGATAATGTGTATATATATATACACATACATATATCTATATGTTTGTGTGTGCGTGTGTGCGTGTGCTCGGACAGCACCGGTTTGGTTGTTGTTGTTGTTGCTGCTGTTGCTGTTGCTGTTGCTGTTGCTGTTGCCGTTGTTGTTGTTGTTGTTGTTGTTGTTGTTGTTGTTGTTGTTGTTGTTGTTGTTGTTGTTGTTGTTGTTGTTGTTGTTGTTGTTTTAGTCAGTTATCCATATATAAACGAATGGGGATGCAGAAATGAGAGCGTGAGCATGTTTTTGGTTGCCTCCGTCGTCATCGCCGTTTCATAATACATGCTTTTGGCCCGCGCCGCGTGCAGCCCATCCGAATCGTTGTGTGGATTTTTCCAAAATATTCCTTTTCGTGAGGCTTCTCAATCGAACCGTCTTGTGGTTCTTTCCGGCGGATGTCTCTTATGACGTTTTCCAATATACATGTCTAGTGAGGCTTTCCAATCGAATCTTCCTTTTGTGGCGCTTTCCACAGGCGTCTTGTTATGAGGCCTTCCAGTATAATCTCTTTGTGGTTCTTTCCAGCGGATTCTTGGTGTGAGGCAGGACGGCGGGGTGTAAAAGAGGAGGAGGGCAGAGTGGAGAAGGACGACAAATAATACTCTTGACAATCGACTCCGTCTGCTCAACTTCTCAAGGGGGCGGGGACACCTCGAGGTAGCACCGCCCCCGGAAAAATTGAGCACACGCTTGCAATCGGAGATTATAGTGTGAGGCCTTGCAATAGGAATCCTTTTGGAAAGCTCCCCAAACGGTTTCTATTGTAAAGCCGCACAAAAGGGATCTTTTGGAAAGCACAACAGAGGGATTTTATTGGAAGGCCTCATAGCAGGAATCCTATAGAAAGCGCCACAAAGGGATTTGATTGGAAGGCCTCGCAACAAGAAGCCTTTGGAAAGCGCCACAATTGGATTCGATAGGAAACCTTCACACAAGGGATCTGTTGGAAAGCACCACGAAAGGTTTCTATAGGAAGGCCTCACAACAGGAACCCGTTGGACATCGCAACAAAACTATTCCATTGAAAAGCCTCACGCGAAAACTCCTTCGCGGGGGGCTCACACAGATATTCCTAACACGGGCGTTGGAAAACTTAAATAATCTAATGCAAATTGCAACATCGAAAACATCAAAGGCAGAACCCCGAAACACCACAAAAAGCATACGAAGCACACAATAACCATTCCACTACTTACTCCACGTTTTCTGTTCAGCATCGTCTGTGCCCAAGAGTTAGAAAAGCTCGTTACAATGCGTTGCAAAGACAAGCGGGGGGAGTGCCCCCGCACCAACCGCTCGCGCTTTCAATTGACGGGGGGAAGGTTGGCGGACAGAGATGGACAACCATCGCCCGGCCCTGTCCCCCAAATTTAAGCCGTCTGCTCGCCCGTGCTCTCACGGAACAGGCCCGGTTGGGCAGGCAACCAGTTTGGGCCAAAGTGGGGCGATTCTTCGGGCTTCGGGGTGCCCGAGCGTTCGCGATTTGGTCTGAAAGCTTCCGCCCTTGGGCGCCGAAGCAGCCCAGGGGCCCGCGTCGCAGTTTAGACAGCGTCGCTTTCATTCAAGATAGAGTGCGCACCAGAAAAAGAGAATGATCCCAGTGATTGGCGTGCGTGCGCAGGTTTGAACGGGATCGTTTCGGTTCTTTTGATGCTAAGCGTTTCTCCGCAACTGTTTACTATCAAGTTTCTCGCGGCCCACTGCCAGGCCCTTTACAATCATGCCCCGCTTATTGAGAGATTGCGACTGAAGAACGATCGGTCAGGATGGAACTTCCGCAAGAGGGCCGACACCTTTATTTAAAACTCCTCGGTTGCCAACCCCTCGTTTTCTCCGACGCGTTGGGTGCCGGGTTTTGGTCAGAAAGCTCTCGCTCCTGGGCGCCGAAGCGGCCCAAGGGCCCACCTGGCGAGACGCTGCAGTTTAGACGGCGTCGCTTTCAGTCAAGATATATTGCCCACCAGAGGAAGAGAGTGATCCCAGGAATGGATCTATCTTGTCGTCGCTCGTAAGGATCGGTGTGTGTGTGTGTGTGTGTGTGTGTGTCCTTTTCTAGCCAGAGCGAAGAGGGCGCACCGATCGTGGGCCCAATGGGACGCGCCAAGACCAGTGCAGATTCGTGCACTTGGCGTTCTCCTGCTCCCCCCCCTTCGCCCCGCCGCCTTCCCCGGGAGGCGCCGTCCCAGGTGGCGCGGCGGCCCGCGCGGGGTGCCCCGCCGCGCGACTGCTGGAGCGGCCATGCCTCCGAAGGCCGTCTTCAAGGGCCAGACCTTCGCTCTGTCGGGCAAGCTGGCCCTGCCCCGGAAAGAATACGAGGCGGCGGCTCTCCGCCTGGCTGGCCTGCTGCTGCTCCCGCACCTTGCTCCGTCCTGCTGCTGCTGCTGCTGCTGCTGCTGCTGCTGCTGCTGCTCTCCCCGCTGCTGCTCCCCGCTCCCCCGCTCTCCCGCTCCTCCCTGCTGCCGATTCTTCTCCCTGCCGCTCCTGCTGCTGCTCCTCCCCCTCCTTCGTGCTTTTGCGTCCCGCTGAATGCTTGCGGCCTCCTGCCGCTGCTCCTCTGCTTCCTGCTTCTGCTTCTGATCTGTGCCCCCTGCTCCTGCTGCTTCACCTTCCGCCCCCTACTTCGCAGCCGTATTGGCTCAAGATGGCTGCATCTGGAGCGTTGCGTTCTCGTGCGCCCTGCGCCAAGGAGCAGCAGAGCCGCGGTGGCCGTGGTGTCGCATCTGGTGGCGGCGGCCGGCAAGACAAGGGCAAGTCCGGGGGCGGCCATCCCGACTTTGGCGGCAACGGCGGGCAGGGCGGGAGGCAAGAGTAGGGCGGAGGTGAGGATGCCGCGAGCCGCGGCACATGCCGCGGGTGTGGATTTCAGTGGGCCTGGCGTTTTCGTCCCGAGTGTTGGCGGTGTGGCTGCGCTTTCCCAAGAATGCCACTGTGCAGCACTACGCGCAGCAGCACCAGGCAACCAGCAGCACCCGCGTCCAAAGGCGAAGCCCCCGTCGACGACTGAAATTCATATCTCCAGCCATAATGCGTCATCAGAACCTCCTCTTCTTCCACCTCCTCGTCCTCCTCCTCCTCCTCCTTCTCCTCCTCCTCCTCCTCTTCAGCGGGTCTTTCATAGAACTGGGCTGAGCTACTCTGCATCGGTCGTGCACCGCCTGAGGCTTTGGAAGTCGTATCGTACGTGCTGATGCCGTCAGCTGCGTGAAGGCATAGTCAAGCGCTGCACAGCTACGCTAGCACGCTGGCTTGTGTACAGATGCCCTGCCCAGCAAACAAAAACGGGCGAGAGGAAACCGCGCTGCCGCTGTCGTTTCGACTCTTCGCCAGGCCACCCTGGATGGACGACAGCCCCGCGCGAGTGAACAGATGAGGCCCTCCCAGACGCCAGTCTTAACGCTCCTCCCGCTTCTCGTTTTGCCTCTGCTGCTCCTGCGCCTCCCTGCGCCCGTCTTGACGCATCCCGTAATTATCCTCCCCCAGCTCAGCGAGCGCCGCCTCGCGGCATCAGGAGACCATCCGCAAGCACGGCGGCGATGTGGCGGCGAGCGTCACAACGGCGGTGACCTTCCTCATCTCCACGGAGGACGATGTCAAGGCTGTTTTGCGATGCGCCAGCTACAGTCAGACAATCGGGGCACTGCCCGGTGTGATTTCAGAAGGTGCCCGATGCGCCAATTGTCTTTCCAGTGGCGTCCCTCTGGCTTTCTTCCGGCATCAGGGCGCAATTCAGGTCCCAAAGGGGGATCCTTCCTTGTCCTAAGACTTTTGATTGTATGCACCTACGTCGATCCTGATCATGCCCAGTATGATCGTTGTCAGGGGCGGTGCCGCTTAATAGATGGGTTCCTCCCCTGCAGCGGGGAGAGGCTGAGCACTGGATCCGAGGACTGGACGGTCACTGTAGGCGATATTGCTCGGCTCAGGAAGGGCAGGGCCTGGGGCGGGAGGTGAGGTGACGTGAGGCAAGTGAGTGGGTGTCGAGGAGCAGGATAATATGATTACGACGATGATGATGGTGGTGGTGGTGCTGCTGTAATGGTGATTGTGATTGTGAAGATGGCAGTGATGGCGATGACGATGACGCTCACGACGACGCTGGCGACGATGATGATGTCGATGATGCTGATGCTGATAATGATGCTGTTGCTGCTGATGCTGATGCTGATGCTGATGCTGATGCTGCGGATGATGATGATGATGATGATGATGATGATGATGATGATGATGATGATGATGATGATGATGATGATGATGATGATGATAACGATGATGATGATGATGATGATGATGATGATGATGATGATGATGATGATGATGATGATGATGATGCTGATGCTGCTGATGATGATGATGGTGCTGATGACGATGATGATGATGATGATGATGATGATGATGATGATGATGATGATGATGATGATGATGATGATGATGATGATGATGATGATGATGATGATGATGATGATGATGATAATGGTGTTGATACTGATGCTGATGTTGATGCTGATGCCGCTGATGATGACGGTGATGATGGTGATGGTGATGGTGATGGTGATGGTGATGGTGATGGTGATGATGATGATGATGATGATGATGATGATGATGATGATGATGATGATGATGATGATGATGATGATGATGATGATGACGATGATGGTGTTGATGATGATGGCGTTGGCGGTGGTGATGGTGATGCTGCTGATGATGGTGATGCGAATGATGATGCTGATGATTGCTGGGCCGCGGGTAATAACGACGATGACGACTGTGCCGAAAAAGTGACGGTTCTGGTGATTCTGATGATTGTGTTGATGATGGCCAATGCGCGGGTTGTGATGGTGGTGGTTGTGATGATGAACATGATGTTGATGGCAATGGCGATGGCAACGATGACGATGATGATGCTTATGTTGATGATACGGCTGCCGCTGCTAATCATGGCATTGGCCATGATGTGGACTGTGAGGACGGCGAGGAGAATGAGGTGGAGGAAGGACATGATTCTGATTCTGATGATGGTGAGGAGGATGAGGATGAGGAGGATGACCAGGAGGAGGAGCAGGATGAGGAGGATGAGGGTTGCCCAAGGATTTCCCCAAGACGACGCAGTCGGAGACGCCTCTGGAAGGGTGCTCACTTAAGAGGCCCACAGACCCATCTTAGTGGGGGGCTCGCCCCGCTCACACTTACACTCCCTACCGAGGTCCCTTATGTGGCCCACTCCCTTCTTGGCCCTGCAGCCACAGCGCGTGCACACCCAATACGGCTCGTAGAACGCAAGCGTGTGGGACCAATGCACTATGCGAGAGCCGATGGCTATACGTGCACGCGTTTGGGGCTAGAGCGAAGGGGGGCCAGGGCACTCTGAACAAAGCCAAGTGTGCAGTACACGACTGGTCGCACTCGTGCTCACGCTGCTCTTACAACACGCACATGCCCACCGCGCGCGGCCTTCGTGCAGAAGCTTGTGTGTGGGCGACTCCTGCGCACGGGAGAGTGCCGACGACTTCGGCCTTCGCAGGAACCTCCGCTCCTGCCGAAAGGTCGGGGCGGCACGCTCTTCGGACTCGAAAGCAAACAAGGTGGCCCTCGCTATGCGGAGTCTGACCAGAGCCAGCACCGCGTTCGCCCATTTCAAACAGTCAAGCTGGTTCCGAGGGATAGCGTGCTTTTCGGCGGCTTTCGCAGCCATCTCATCCGCTACCTGGTTGCCTAGCCAGGCCAAAACGGGGACCCCTCGAGCGATCGCCTCCTGTGGGGCCAGGTAGCTGTTCAGAAACTTCACAGTGACAACCGCTGACCCCCTGGAGCGCCACTCGGAGCCCAACGATTCCCACATATCTCCGTTCACAGACCAACTGGCAGGCATGAGGTGCCGCCCTCTACTCCGGCCTTTGAATAGAATGTCATTATCCGTCCAATACTCTTATTGGTCGACGATAAAAAACTCTAACGACTTAAGGGGGGGGGTAACATTATTATCGTGGGCATGGGGTTACCTCGCCACACATGTCCTGAAGAACGGATAGGGGACTCGTCATTTCTGCTCGGTTATTGGTCTGCCTGTGCCCCGCTAGGGGGCCTGATGCCCCCCCTCTCAAGACTGGGCTCTCTGGCGAGCCCTCCAGCAGGCACCATCCCCAGCCGCAGCGGCGGTACCTCGGGTCCGAGGCCTCCTCGCCTGCGCTGCCGCCGCAGTGCGCGCGCCAGCGCCTCTCGCAAGCACGAGGGGCCCTGCGGCGCCGCATCCCAATGCTTCGCCGCCCTCTGGACCCAGGAGTCGACCTCGGTCTTGGCCAGCAGCTGCCAGGCGCGCGCCAGCCAGGTGATCAAGGCGATCGCACGGTCTCCTTTCTTCTTGGGTTCCAGCACCACTATCGCTTGCAGCACTTGGTGTGGCCAGGCTACCTGGCTCTCAACTTCATGAAGCAGATTAACGAAGCCTTGTCTTCCCTCTGTCGGCAATCGGCGCACATCTGAAGCAACGAATCTGTCAACGCCTCGGCCCTTGTCGGGCTGAGACGGAGGGCCTGATCAAAGGTGTCAAGAGTCCAACAGGGGCGGTTGGGCGTTTCCAACGCCAGCTGCCGCACTCGAGCCAGGACGGCCACGGAGTCCTGTTGCGACACCTCCGAGGAGCCCCAAGTTTGTTTAAACGTCCGAGCTTTGCTGTCTACTACTAAGTCCTTCGGGGAAGACGCCTTGACCCCAATACCATCCACACACTCATCGTCAAACCGGGCGGGGGGCTTTGTCATCTTATGGAGCTTACCTGGGGTGGCCTGTTCGGGGTCCGACAACCATTGGGCCCGCGCAGCCTGCTTCCTGCAAAGGTCAACCCGATGGGCCTTGGCCTCTTCTTTTTCCGCTTGGATCGCCATTCCCGCCAGCGCAGGAACAGGCACAGCGGTTATATCACGAAGCCTCGACAACCACAAGGCACGGTGTTGCAGGGCCTGCTGCGAGGGGTTTTGCCCATCCGACGGCACTTCCTCAATGGCTAGCTTCCGACAGATGCTCCGAAGCTCGGCTTGTTGCTGCTTCCCCCTATCCCGAGACATCAGAGCGTGCGACAACTTCAAGGCGTTAGCTACACGGCTCCACCACCCAGGTGTGTAGCTGGAGTGCCGAGGCTTGCGAAGCCCACGCTCCCTCACTTCCGCTTCCTTGAGCTGGTCAGGGGGCGCACGGCCACAAAACTTGGCGGCTTCACGTTCCTCCATCTGGTGCGCTCGACAATCGAACTGCCAGCGCACTGTGCTGCCGTCCCAGCTCCTTCGCAGGGCCAGGTGCCGCGATGTACGACGCGCTCATCTTCGCGCACTCGGGCACCCCTTGGCAGAAGCTGGGCAACGGCTCGCTTGCAATCTGGGCCCAGGGATCATCCCGCAATTCCGTGGGAGTCTCCGCTGCTGGCTGCTGAGGAGGCTGCTGCTGCTGTGGAGGAGGGTCCGCGGTCGGGGGGGGAGCAGCAGCCGTTCCGAGGGCGACTGCCTCCACCTTCCCAGGTGGTTCAAGCTCGGCTAGCTCTTGCGGGGGCCCAAGGAACGCGTGCTCACCAAAACTCCGAACCTCCTCCTCCTCCTCCTCCTCCTCCTCCTCCTCCTCCTCCAAAAAGGGGTCCGCCTCGGGGTCACGCGGGCCCCTGGTCGCAGGAAAACGTGCCCAACCCGTGGGTCCGAGGGCTTCCCAACGACGATTTCAAATGGCCTGCTCCCGCCCCAGCCTACGGTGCTGCGCCTTCTCTTTTTCACGCGGGTCGGAGGGGGAGGGGGCGGCCGCGCCGGCGGAGGAGTTTTTTTTGTTTTGTTCTCTCTCTCTTCTTCTTCCTCCCTCGCGGCGGCTGCTGGGCTCGGGCTGTCCTCGCGGCCTCCTCGGATGCTTGAGCGGGGCAGGCATGCGCGGCAGGCGAGTTAGCGCAGGCGCCGCTGCAGCTCGGAGCGTGAGAACCTGGCCGACATGAGGCTTCCACGGTACAGGCGCAGTCTGCAGGCCCTCGAACAGGTATTGCGCGCCAGGGCCCAGCGGGGCGTAGTCTATCAAAGAGGGCTCGCAATCAGCTTTGAAGCAAGTGAAACCGTCTGCAATGGTGGCTATCTAGCCCTCAAGGCGCTGGTCCCAACCAGACTTCTTGAAGGCCTCGGGCGAGGCTTTGAAATCGCCTGCGGCTATCCACGGGCTACGCAACGAACTAACAAAGGCTCCAGTGGACACGAGCTTGCGGGCGTTATTGCCCGTAAAACATTTCGAGCCCTCGAGGTAGCAGCTGACGAGAGTGATTGTCACTCCCTTGAGGTGCCGGGAGATTGGCGCCCAATCATGAAACTCGGAAGAGGCAGCTCGCGAGGCGCCTACGACTGTGGTGCTAGACGAGGCACAGTCCTCCCTCGCAAGCTCCCTGAAAAAGTGGTCTGGTGACGAGGCCGCGCGGCCGCGCAAACTCCGCCCAGGGATCCTGCATCTGAGCGGACACTGTGGCGCGCTGCCGAAAACGCCGCCTTCCAGCCCCAGCTGTTCAGCGTGCGCTCGGCTTTCGCGTGTGTTTCCTGCAGCAGAAAGGCACTCAGCGAATCGAGCTTAGATGGCTCTCGGACGTAC